CCCTTGATTTGAGAGAAGACCCGTCAGAAAAATTCCTATATAATGTCTACGGTCATACCACGTTGAAAGCACCAATTCTCGTTCGATCAGTGGTTAGTACTTGGATTGGTGACCGCCTGGGAACACCGAGTGCTGTAGACTCCTTTTTGCTGGTATTTCCCCTTGATTTGCGAGAAAGACCCGCCAGAAAAATTCCTATATAATGTCTACGTCCATACCAAGTTGAAAGCACCAGTTCTCGTCCGATCACTGAAGTTAAGCAACGTCGGGCTCGGTTAGTACTTGGATGGGTGACCGCCTGGGAACACCGAGTGCTGTAGACTCCTTTTTGCTGGTATTTCCTCTTGATTTGCGAGAAAGACCCGCCAGAAAAATTCCTATATAATGTCTACGGCCATACCACGTTGAAAGCACCAGTTCTCGTCCGATCACTGAAGTTAAGCAACGTCGGGCTCGGTTAGTACTTGGATGGGTGACCGCCTGGGAACACCGAGTGCTGTAGACTCCTTTTTGCTGGTATTTCCCCTTGATTTGCGAGAAAGACCCGCCAGAAAAATTCCTATATAATGTCTACGGCCACACCACGTTGAAAGCACCAGTTCTCGTCCGATCACTGAAGTTAAGCAACGTCGGGCTCGGTTAGTACTTGGATGGGTGACCGCCTGGGAACACCGAGTGCTGTAGACTCCTTTTTGCTGGTATTTCCCCTTGATTTGCGAGAAAGACCCGCCAGAAAAATTCCTATATAATGTCTACGGCCATACCACGTTGAAAGCACCAGTTCTCGTCCGATCACTGAAGTTAAGCAACGTCGGGCTCGGTTAGTACTTGGATGGGTGACCGCCTGGGAGCACCGAGTGCTGTAGACTCCTTTTTGCTGGTATTTCCCCTTGATTTGCGAGAAAGACCCGCCAGAAAAATTCCTATATAATGTCTAAGGCCATACCACGTTGAAAGCACCAGTTCTCGTCCGATCACTGGTTAGTACTTGGATGGGTGACCGCCTGGGAACACCGAGTGCTGTAGACTCCTTTTTGCTGGTATTTCCCCTTGATTTGCGAGAAAGACCCGCCAGAAATATTCCTATATAATGTCTACTGCCATACCACGTTGAAAGCACCAGTTCTCGTCCGATCACTGGTTAGTACTTGGATGGGTGACCGCCTGGGAACACCGAGTGCTGTAGACTACTTTTTGCTGGTATTTCCCCTTGATTTGAGAGAAAGACCCGTCAGAAAAATTCCTATATAATGTCTACGGCCATACCACGTTGAAAGCACCAGTTCTCGTTCGATCACTGGTTAGTACTTGGATGGGTGATCGCCTGGGAACACCGAGTGCTGTAGACTCCTTTTTGCTGGTATTTCCCCTTGATTTGCGAGAAAGACCCGCCAGAAAAATTCCTATATAATGTCTACGTCCATACCAAGTTGAAAGCACCAGTTCTCGTCCGATCACTGAAGTTAAGCAACGTCGGGCTCGGTTAGTACTTGGATGGGTGACCGCCTGGGAACACCGAGTGCTGTAGACTCCTTTTTGCTGGTATTTCCTCTTGATTTGCGAGAAAGACCCGCCAGAAAAATTCCTATATAATGTCTACGGCCATACCACGTTGAAAGCACCAGTTCTCGTCCGATCACTGAAGTTAAGCAACGTCGGGCTCGGTTAGTACTTGGATGGGTGACCGCCTGGGAACACCGAGTGCTGTAGACTCCTTTTTGCTGGTATTTCCCCTTGATTTGCGAGAAAGACCCGCCAGAAAAATTCCTATATAATGTCTACGGCCACACCACGTTGAAAGCACCAGTTCTCGTCCGATCACTGAAGTTAAGCAACGTCGGGCTCGGTTAGTACTTGGATGGGTGACCGCCTGGGAACACCGAGTGCTGTAGACTCCTTTTTGCTGGTATTTCCCCTTGATTTGCGAGAAAGACCCACCAGAAAAATTCCTATATAATGTCTACGGCCATACCACGTTGAAAGCACCAGTTCTCGTCCGATCACTGAAGTTAAGCAACGTCGGGCTCAGTTAGTACTTGGATGGGTGACTGCCTGGGAACACCGAGTGCTGTAGACTCCTTTTTGCTGGTATTTCCCCTTGATTTGCGAGAAAGACCCGCCAGAAAAATTCCTATATAATGTCTACGGCCATACCTAGTTGAAAGCACCAGGTTCCGGCTTGCTGTTTATAGGAGAGATACGTGTTTCATTTCGATCACTATAAATCCAATGTAATCCTGGAGTTTAACCTGCAATTTCTACCTTATGATTGATTATTACAACAAAGAAAACATTGATTGACATTTTGTTGAGAAGTATTTTTGTTTATAGAGGTTTTTCCTTGCTATTTGGGCCTTTTGGCCCGGCTGTTTAAACAGTCTATAAACTATATTAACAATATGGCGTCTAAACCTGATGTGACGCTACTTGTTAAACGCAATACCGTAAAGG